GGGCTCCTGTAACGAATTTGTTGTTATATATTTATTTTAATGTCAACATTTGTTTGGATTGAGTTTATATTTAAAACATACATAGCCTGTAGTGTTAGATATGTATTGCGAAACCCCCGCTTATTCTCCAAAGTTGCAGATTATTCTCGAAAATAAGAATCAACATTATATTTATATACGTAAACGTTTAAATATAGCTCAGTATTGTTATGTAATCTGAATTTTCTGGAAAACCTTTCCACGCCTATAAATACAACCAACGCGACGTGCCAAAGTGTGTGTCTGTTAGTAGTTCGCTATAGTCAGTGTGCTATAAACTTCGAAAGCTATAGCTGTGATTTTTATAATGCTTATCAATCGGAAAACTTCCGATATTTGACCAGGAACCTTTACAAAGTGGCCAAGGACAAAGCTAGCTAGCTTTCCGGCGAATCGTACCTACGTCAACTCGTAATTAACTCGCTCATCGTAAACTCTCGATAAGACATCAAGGGAGTTCCAAACTAGAAAGAAGACTTTATAGTGTTTGTAAGTTTGCGAAACTTTTGTTTATAAATCATTGTTTGTAATAACTATTTGTAATAATTGTTACTGTAAATTGTAATGTTGTGTGTATATTAAAACGTATTTGTGTTAAAAAAAGAAAACTGTATGTCAATCTTGTTGGAAAATATCGTAAATTGACTAAAATATCGGCATATATTTTAATACTAAATCCAAAGTATAATTTAACTACTAAATTTAAATTATCAGTTAACTTGGCTTCGGACTATTCGAAATTCTAACACGTAACACTCCTCTTTACCAACCGTCACAACCACTGTCAACTCTTGGGCTCCTCTTTACCAACCGTCACCTTATAACGTCACCACGGCTGAAAGGGATTCAAATCCACCCCCACAGATTACGAGTCAAGTGCCCTAACCACCAGGCCATCCTTTGGTTTGTTTCTTTAGCTTGTGTCTGATGTATTTGGATTGGTGCCAACGTAAGGTATAAGTACTGGGTGACTTAATCTATTAATCTAAATATCCAATGGTCTTAACATGCAAGTTGCATCTAAAGTCTAGACCAACCACCACTTTATACTAATCTTAGAGTATCATGGTAAGGTTCTGTGTCTTCAAATTAATAGAGTTATCTAACCATTAAGTGTACGAAGCCAATCAAGCTACAAAATAAACAAGATATTAGAATAAAGTTGGTATCATGAATAGTAGCATAATTTCCATGTGTTTGAATATCGACCGTCAGGCCTATTATCCAGCAGCTACGAAAGATCTCAGCGTAATCCCTCTTATCGTGATGACGCGAGATGTAAAATTCAGTAGGGAGCCATCTCTACGTTCTCATAATCTCCCTTACTCGTTATTTTAGCGCAGAAGAGGCACAATAAGCATGCAGCATTCGTCGAAATAGCAAGTAGGCTATAATGAATCCTGTTTTATATCAAGACTGACTTACATACGTTCTTCTAATGTAGAAAATAACACTTAACTGTTTATTTATAATTAGGACTATTTCATATCTTTAGTTTTACTTAGTAGCTAACTTGAACAAAAACTTCCTTTAATGAAATGCGATGTATCAAAGTTTGAGAATCGTAATAAGCAATTATAATTAGTAATATTCTTATCTAGTAAGAGTTTATTTTAAGGGTAATTCGTAGGGAAGCTTTCCTCTAATGATCTGTTTACACCTAGAAGTTTCAGTGACGTACTTACTTTCCGATTTTTAAGTTCTAGCAAGACTGATCCTGTGCTTATACAGGATTTGTACTTTGTACTTATTAGTCCCAAAGTCATGTTACTCTCCTAACAATTAACGCTTTAACGTTGTGTTATTTTGCAAACACAACAGTTACATTACTGTAAAGGTCTAAATCATAACTTAACAGCATATTTTTATTTTGAATATTTTTTATGTCAAAAACTTCATGCCTTAGATATATCAACAATTTGCTCATGAACTTGATACCAAAACGGCTTTCAATAGGCCACTTAGATCTTAATTTATCACTTGATCCATTTGTTAGTATATCAATGGAATTTCCTAATTTTAGATCTTTCAATGGAAAAAATGTAAAATACATTATTCGTTTCTGCACTTATGAGAGTTTTATGTTTTAATAAACATAAGACATATAAATAGACCGTTCGTATCCGTCCTGTGAGTGCTAACTATTATTTTAATAACTTATGTCTGTATTTTGATTAATGTTCACACGATAAAACACAAATTCAAATTCCTATTTATTTACTTTAAGTGACGTATTCATTGATAGTCCAATCGATTTAAATTAAGAAAATATCAGGAACCATATTATTCTTGCTAAATTCGAAATGCAATATATGATACTCAAACTCATTATTTTAATTGGGGCATAAAGTAAGCAATGGTTTTGATGAGGTAGATATTTTTGACAAACGTTAAGACTTTTCTTTCAACCCTTTAAATTTCCGTCACCTAGCATTAACATTCCTCCATCTTTACTCAAAAATCTCTGTTTTGCTGTATCTTAGATACTTCAGAGTTTTTAGGTATTATACTATAAAAAATGTTTTCAACAATATCTTAAGTTATTTTTTTAGTATAATTAACTGTAAATATAATAAAATGTTACTAGAAAACCCTTTAACGTTACTTCCAAAATTGTTTACAACAAATCGAATGTTTCTTCTCGTAGATTACTTTAATTACATCATGCCTATTTTAGCACTCCCACGTTGCTTTGCGCCAATAAATCCCCCAAACACAACCCACGTGTCAAGGTAACCAGCACAAGAGTGATATCTGACATGACGACACTATATTGTTCAGTTTTGATGACGTCATATGGTAGTAAAAATGGCATCCATGACAAAGATAAGGGGGGTTAATTATTTTGTGCTTGAAGACTTGTTGTAAGTTTCATATTTTTAACCCTGGTTACTCCAGGTCGTAAAATGAGGGTAAAACCCGGGAAAAGAAAATTCATTTCTTGCCGCTTTATTGATTCTTATAGTCATCCAATATTCTTGTTTACATCAATGTTATTTGAATATGTTGCATCATATTTGAGTCGATTTACTAAAAGTGTCGTATATCTACTCGTACTATAAGTGCACAGGTGTCATTACTTCTAGCTATACAAATATAACAACTAAAACACTGCACTACGTGTTGAATGCAACATCAACCCACTTTTCAAGTGAGCTTCTTGATAAACAGATACTAGAATATATATACGTACATAATATAAACAAGTTTACATTCTGTATTAAAATTCGAGATGTCTTTAAAACGATTTGTAAATTAAAACCACTTCCAACTACTGTATAGTAGTATTTTTACAAACAGCTTAAGTCTTAAAACCCTATTTGATATACAGGGTGGGCCAAAAGTAGGGTTACAGTTAACACTT